CGCGTTGATAACGTATCAGCGAGTCATATATACTTCATTTGTTCTTTCGTCTTTTACCATGTACGAAAGTGTGACTTGAATCAACACTTGATATCATTTCCGAATTAACAGTTGACATCTATAAAATTTAATACAGCCAATTTCAATACTCATATTTTTTTTATTACCTACCTGGAGGAGAGGAATGCGAGAGTCGTGGATGTGATTAAATTTGTTTACTAGAGCCGAAATATATATAATACATACATACATACACACACACACACACAGATATATATATATAAATATAAATATATATATATATATATATATATATATATATATATATATATATATATATATATATATATATATATCCAAGTTTTGATCCGAAGATCGGTTTTAAAACCACTTGCTCCGATACCAAATTGTAACACCATAACCCGTCCAGGTCTGCAGCCCCTTTCGGACTAAAGTATAAACTTGGTATTCGTAGACATTCAAAAATATTTCAAACATTTAAAACTTTATTTCATAATAAATAATTCAAAATAGCAATGGAGTAATATAATGTTGCGCAAGCTTAACAAAACATAATACAAACATAACTAGTTTATGTCTTTTCAAACAGTAATCCAAATTCAAAACACACATCCGCCCGACCATCTCGTCCCATCTGCCTCCAGGAAAGCATTTCTTCATTCTTTTTGTTTACCTGCGTGTAGCAAATAAAACATACTACATGCTCAGCGTTTAAGCTGTGTAAGCATATCTAATGCGTCGAACATCCATATAAACTGAATCTAAATTCATAATCAAATCATTTGATATCATGCACATAATGTTCAGTTCAGGTACTCAATAATCATAAGACAATATTAAACATTCTTTATTTTATTTTCACATTTTATCCGACATTCATAATAACCACAATATTCAATTCAATATTTATTCATATTCAATATTCAACAGTATCCTTATACTATTCTTAGTCTAAGGCCACTCACTTTAATATTTTTCAACCCTTTAATAAATTTTAGCTTAAATAATTAAACTATATTCCAGTATAAAGTATGCCTAAATAATCCTTAAGGTAGGCTTAGTTTAAGATAAAAGGGTTTTGAAAATCTTAAACATACTTTCACTTAAGGCCAACGAGAAACCGACAGCGTAGTGTTCACTGTTGGGTGGTTGGTACCCCCAAACGAGTAGGTACTCAAGTTTAGTTCTTGGATCCCGTACGTACGTTTTAACCCTAGCCACCGGGGTTCATACTCGCAAGACCTAACTTAAATAGGTATATTTTAGAAGTCTTCTAGATACCTTTCAAATCAACATTAATATGGGTATATCTTAGAGCTCTCTTCTAGATACCCTTAATAATAAATTATTTTCACAATCATCAATATATTCATTATGATTTAATCATTTATCATTTTTAATCAGAATATTTATTAAGATTTAATCATCATAATCGTCAATCAATAATCATTACCATAATCATCATTCAACATAATATTCAACAATAATTAGCGGCCTAGCATCGGATGTTAACACCCTAACTTATCGTCATGCATCACATAACATTTTATTTGTTTAAAAATATTACTTTTAATGTGAAAAATCATTTTTATAATGATCATAATCAATTGGTATCAAAAATAGGATTTTAGAGCTTAAAAATAACATTTTCAGACAAATTTTCGGATCAGAAATTCGGGGGATCGATCCAGACTGCAAAGAAAGCTCCAGGTGATCAATCTAAGGGATGTGATCGATCCATCCTGCATATTTTCAGCTACTGTTCATCTTCTTCAACCTTCGGTCCATTTTTCGGAAATACCATTTTTAGTTATCGAACTTCAACGAAACTATATAGAGATGTTTTCCAAGGTTCATAGATCATTTTGGCACCATTAATTCATAGTTTTAACATCAATTTAATGGTTTATGATTCTTGGTTCTTCAAGCATGTCAAACACAAAACTCAACCAAATGAGCGTTTATGAACGTAGAAACGATCTATACGAACATTCTAGTCATTAGATATATCTACGGCTTACCTCGAAGATAGATGAAGGTTTTGAAGATTTTCCGGCAAAACTTCCGGCGAAGATTGTGACTATCTCCGGCGACCTCACACCAATACGACAACACCACTGCGTTCTCCTCACTCCCAGCAACAAAATAGATAGAAAGTTTTTAAGTAATGGTGAGGAATTGAAGGAATGGAGATGACCCTTTTATAGCCAAGTGAAGGAGGAAGAAAACACGGTGATGAGCTCTCCTTTGACTATTTCGGCGGCTGGGTGGAGCGGGCTGCGATTTCTTCCTATTTCAAACGCAAGTCCCTGATTGGGACTAATTTGGTCCCAGTCGGGGAACACTTTTTGGTCCAACTTTCTCCGAATTAAAATCCGATTGAACCGTTGGAATCAGACAGTTAAACTCTACATAACGATATAATTATTATTATTTATTGACAAACTTTATAATTCACATATTTTTGGGTCCTTCTCAGTAATTAATTAATTATCAATTAATTAATTATGATAGGCCTATTTTCGGGGCATTACATTTTGTTATCTACTTTAAAAAATTTATTATCAGTGTTTTTAATTTTATTCTTTCATTTTATTTTTTATAATTGTCATTTTTTAATCTTTTTATCATTTATCCTACATTTTATTTTTTTATTTTCTTATGCAATTAACTTTTTAAATTTGATTAAGTATATATATACACACACAAACACAAACACATATATATACTACCTTCGTCCCTCAGTATTGACTTATTTTTGTCAACAATTTTCAACCTTTGTCCTATAATCAAATAAAATATATATATACTTTATATTAATTAGATAAAATAATATTTTGAAAATATGTGCTATAATAAATCTAATAAAACTATTTTTTATGAATATCTAATATTATTTTTATTTAATTTAAGGTCAAAATTTACCAATTTTTACCAAAAAAATCAAAAGTGAACAAATACTTAGAGACAGATGGAGTATGTATGTATATAATTTTATCTGTTATTTATTACTTCTATTTTCCATTATGAATTGATCGATTTATTTTATTATTATAATTATTTATTATTATTATTATTATTATTATTATGATCATAATTAATTTTTTAATTTTCATTTTATAATTTTTGATTTATGTTATTATTTTTATTATGGGTTTTTATTTTATGATATTAATATGTTTTTGTTTTTTATTCTTATTTTTTATATCTACTTATTTATTGTTATTAATATTTTAATTGTCATTTATTGTTTATTCTATTATTACAATTTTTTGTTATTATTAAGTTTTTGTGTTATTTTAGAATGTATAATTTATTTTCTATTTATTTATTTATTTTAATTTAATTTTATTATATACTCCCTCCCGGTTTTTATGTTCCCAGTTTGACTTTTAGTCATTTTTAGTGTGACTAATGGATTACATTGCCCAAAATATCCCTGCCCCCACACCAAAATATCTCTGCAACCCGTAACACCACAACCACCCCAATCCCTATCTCCACCACTGCCCAACCGTCGCCCAACCCCCACCACCGCCCCAACCGTCGCCCCAGCCTCCTCCGTATCTGCAAGTAAATCA